TATATATATATATATATATATATATATATATATATATATATATATATATATATATATATATATATATATATGACTAAACAGTAAATTATTTTTTTTGTACATATTTTGATTGCAATATCACATAATACTGTCAGAACAAGAGAGGATATTTATATAAACTCTCTTAATATCTCATTTTCTTTGAGTGTCCTTGTGAAGAACCGGACATGTAAAAAAAAAACAAGTGTGCAAGGACACTCCTATTCCAAGTGGCCCCTCCATTTCAACAAAATAGCCTTTGTGATCCTGCCAGCAATAGCAAGGATAGTGGTGAAGGGCTTTTTGTCTCTCTTTTTCTTTTTTTTTCTTTCTCTCCTCCAAATGTTTGCTTAAAAGTCAAGATGGGGGAAACCTCAGAGGCTTGGTTTTGGCAATGACAAGCTGATATAATCCAAAACGAGCTGAATCCCCCAACAAAAAGCTCTTCCAGATGTAATAGAACGACCTCCTCCCCCATCACTCACTCTCTCTCTCTCAGGCTGTTTCCTTAACACACATATGTACTCATGCTTAAATATAGACACATGCATTTATAAAAGATCTAAGACTGGGCAATATATTGAATACTCACAATATATTCACAATGATTTTTCAGGCGATATCAAATTCACATATTAAATGCTAACATGAAAGTAATATACAGTAGTTTTCATGTATTAACATTTTTATTTGAAATGTTATATATGTAAGTAAAATAAAAATTATATGTAAGTAAATGTTGCTTTTTATTTTTATAAATATTTATAAAGTATAACTAGAAATGTCAACAATTCTGTGTTTTTCTGTCAATATGGGGTGCTGTGTGTACATTAATGAGGAAAAAAAATTAACTTAAATGATTTTAGCAAATGGCTGCAATATAACAAAGAGTGAAAAATTTAAGGGGGTCTGAATACTTTCCGTACCCACTGTATATATATATATATATATATATAATAGTATTTATATAAAGTATCTATCTATATATCTATCTATCTATCTGGGTTTTTGAGTATCAAAACAATACAAGTTTAATACAGCTTTAATATTTCCATACATCTGAATATCTTGTTAAACTTTTTTTGAGCAAATCATTACCATGATTTATAGAAAAAAATTTCATAGTGCAACAATAGTTTATATACAAAATACTAATTAATTGTCATTAAATTAAGTCATTTTAAATCTTTACCAACTTATCCTTCAAATCACTAGGTTTGAATTGTATTAAATTGTATTAGTATGATCACTTATTATTTTATATGTATAAGTACACAGGTCAGAATAAGTATGTAAGTGTTCATTTTTACATAACTGTTATGCTGAATGACGATGGAATATTATTTGACCCATAATTTGACATTTTGTTTTCACAAAAGTTATTTAAAACATTAGACACTTTACTTGCATTTAATATGCTTTCTGTGCATATATAGAATCACTTTGTTTTATTTTATTTGATGTGGACACCAACATGAAAGGTCCCACTCTAATATTCACACACAAAAAGAGAAAATGTACGTACATTTGTAATTCAAAGCAGAGCTTTCATAGCTTTGTGAATCCAGGCAAAGCAGTGTTAGACAATTGACACGAGAGCGCCACATAGATAAAATGTCTTGCAAATGCCCAGTACTGTGTGGCTGCAGACACAGGGCCAACTGTGTGTTGACAAATGGTCTCACAATGTCAAAATAAAAAAGGCATTCCCATAATTGATGTTGTCCTTATAAAAATAACTTACAACAGGGTAGTAAAATAATATGCAAATATAACATAAGACAGAGCATACTCAATGATAAAATCAACAAAATGATTTTGTGATGAATACCAAGTATTAGTTTAATAAAACAGAACCAAATTTTGGTATAGAACCAAACTGCTTGAGTAAATTTACAGGGTCTGATCTAAAATACGGCCCATTAGAGATTTGTAGATAGTTTGTACATTCACAATGTGTATTTACTCTGTTTTTCTACTCTCCAAGAGTGGATGGTTACAGCCTCATTATCAAATGGAGTAAACATTCAGTTACCGAGTCTAAAAATATCTCTCACTTTAGAAAGGTGGAAAAATACTCATGTTGTGTGAAGAAACTGTGGCTTTTGGTCTTTCCTCTCTCGCTCTCTCTTATGGGACACTCCAGTCTTGTGCAGTAATTCATTGGTCCGAGTGGCGTTTATTTCCCCCTCCTGCCAACCAGTTTTTTCCATCTTTAATCCTTGTGAATGGCACATTTGTTCCACCATGTCAAGGTCCAAAACCTTGCAAGCACACATATATACTAATATACTGTACATACACTTTTAATCACATGTAACCTGCTAGAGGAGGCACTTGCATTTTTTCTTTTCTTTTTTTTTTTTTTACAGTAGAATAAAGTAAGAGTCTATTACTTAAAAGTGGAAAAAAGAAGAGAGTAGGATGGTATAACTACAGTCTTTGGGAATTTTAAACAGAGGAAAGTTGGCAGAGGAGATCTCTACTGAGTTCGGCAACACACTTTTCCAGAAGTAGGAAAAAAATGCTGCTTTTTTTCCAACGGAAATATGAAAGAGCAAAACTGATATTTAAAGGGGTTACAGCATCTCTGTCCTGGAAAGAATGGAAATTCACCACCTTCATGGAAAGCGACCATTTATACAATAATATCTGAAACACTGTCATTAACTTTTGTCATTAATAACACTAAGGTCAACTACTTGAATACCAAAATGATAAAAATGTAAATGTGAGAAAGACTGTTGCTGTGACTTATGAGCTTTTTTTTGAAAAAACACGGAGGCTCTGGAACGAAAAAAAAAAGAAGAAGAAAGAAATAGAAGCTGTTTCAATATACTTTCCTGTTGTCAAAATGTCTGGTATGTATAAGCCACAGACTCCAGTCTGATTGTTGAATCCATTGTAAACAATCATGCTTGCGCTCCTGCTACATTCAATAATAAACTCAAAGCAAGGTCACATCCTCATACAGAGCTCACACACAGTTCAATGAGGTTTGAGTGATGGACTCTGTCCCATTACATTTCACCACTTCTTTAGCATGGTGTTCTTTCCTTTCTAACCACCAGCCTGTAAAAAAAAAAAGCTCTAAACTGAAGATTTTTTAAGTGTCTGTGATGAGAAGTAAAAATATTCAGCAGCAATTACGGGATACCATGATAAAATGCTAAGGCAGTGTTTCAAAGTACTGTAGTGTATTGATCCAAACTGTAAAGCAAAGCAAAGGGGTGCAGATGGTAATGAATATTGCGGCAATTATTTCCACCATGCCATGATAAATCTGTATGTTCAATATGAGGTGCACAGAAACCCTTTATGAATTAATGAAACTTGTCATTTCTCACAAACACGTTGTCACGTGTAGATTCCTTGTTTTCCTTTGGACTTTTATTGTGAAGTGTGTTCCTTGTCCTTATTGTTCCCTGTGTTCACTTCCTGTGTTTGGGCCTTGTTAGTTGTCATGGCAATTAATCAGTCTCACCTGTTGCTTGTTAGCCCTTTGTTCTCCTGTGTATAATTAGCCCTTGTGTTTTACTTGTATTCTGACAGTCAGTGTTTGCAGTTGGTTTCGTGTGCGTTCCTGTTCTCCGTGACTTTCAATAAACCCCTTGCACCTAGATCCTCCTCTTCTCTTGCATTCATTGCTCACTGCGTTACATGTCATGTATTTTTAAATAAATAAATATTCCAAGAAAACTGAAGCTATTTTGGACCATTCAAGTTATTTTGAGTTATGGGTGTTAAGCACAAAATTCTCATTACCAGATTAATGGTGAGCATGTCATGATAATTATTTTGACATTATCTTCTATATAAATATAAATCTGTATAAATATTCTTAATGATGATTCCTCTTAATACATAATTTACTTATATATGAGAATGAGACTTTTTTTTTTTTAATTGTCATGGAAATGTCACAAATCAAAATCAGAATGGTCCTAATAGGCTTAATTTTCCTAATGCAAAATTTAATTTCTTACTTTTGATTTTTGATACCCACTTCTCTCTGATACTTTCAGACCGGAAAGTAACAATCCAGAACATTCAGCAGCAGAACAGCTGAGCATAATTCTGTTAATTTTGCTTGTACCACAAGCCATCTAAAGGCTTTTAAGCAATTCAGACTCCCTTCACATAAACCACACAGAGGGATTTTTAACAAAGCATTTTACATATTCCATGTTTACTCTGAAACAAGCCAAACATTTCTTTGTATTTTGACCAAACAAAGCGACAATTAAATAATCTGGATGGACTGGTATCCTCCTCTCGGATTCATTAAAGCACAACCTGGCTATTAAAGAAACCATTAAAGAATATTATGCATTCCTTGTCGTATTGCATTGGCATGTTCCTGAACCTTAATTGCACTACAAATACAAACGTATGAGTTTTAAAACACAATGCATTTTCAATTTGAATGTCAGCTTTTTAATTTCAGTCAAAGCCTTACTTTGTTAAAATATGGCAGGGCAAACTGACACATGATTAGTGGAAGGAAGCAATGTCACCTTGGGTAATCAAATTCATCTGCTTCATAAAGGAACACAGCCCAATATAGTACAAGAGCACAGTGTGGTTTTCATCCTGGGGGATCCTAGAAGAAACTGCCTCTAGCCATGGCAGTATTAGCTGCTTTCCAGACTTATGCTTTAGTCTCTACTGTACGGCTGCTCACCATGAGCTGGCTTCTGGTTTCCTTGTAAAATATAATTGAACCTCACATTGACATCACACTTTCCTTCCCACAAACCACCCATGCTAGAGAGAAAAAGCTAAAGTTGAAAGATAAATAAAAGAGAAGAAGCCATGAGAACCAGAATGGAATCTTGGCATCTTCCAGAGCTTATTCAGACATCAAACGTAGATTGATCACAACTACAAGGCTGCCAGTTTCAAATCTAGTCAAAAATAACAATGCAACTTGCAGCATTTTGACCTTTAGAAAAATGTAAATTCATAGACAATAAAATCGGAGATTGTGACCACATGCTGTTAGTGATACTACAATAACTGATTTCCATAGTGACTTGTCTCATAAATTTTCAAACAGAGTTTTTGAGCAAACTTATGTCACCAATGTCAACACCACTGTAGCTGTTCAATTCATATAATATTGTGGACTAGTAGTTAAAGATTTGGGCTCAAGTTCCTAAACTCTGAAACCCATAAGCTATCGTTATTGTGTTGTTGAGTAAGCCATTAAATCCCTAGTTGCTTTGGAGAAAATGATCAGCTAAATGACAGCTTCAGTCTTTTAATCTCATTTGTATACAGTGAAAAAAATTAATAAATAATATATATATATATATATCTACCTGGATTTACTTGAGACTTGACAGCTCCCGATAGGTAAAGCAGGATAAGGAGCGGAAAGAGCATTTCCCAAAGCTGCTTCATCTCAGGTGGAGACGGGACGTTCATTCCTGCAGAATGAGAAACACTCTATAATAAAACTTAAGTAAAAGAGGAATCAACTATACCCCAACAACCCTTGAGTAAGTTTCAGCTCAGGCTTAAATAGAGAGTCAGTATTTATTCATGATGTTCCAAATCTGTATACATTTTTTTAAACAAAATAAAATATTTTGAAGAATGTCTCTATGTTTTCTTTTTTGGTTCATTCAGTGAAAGCCAATAGGACACAATAATAATTTGGACCCCATTAACTTCATTGTATGGGCAAAAAGATTCTTCTAAATATCTGCTTTTGTGTTCCACACAAGAAAGTAAATCTTTCAAGTTTGAAACAACAAGACCAGACGCTTTCCATCACATGCTCACACTGCACAAATAACATCTACTACCACACCTTAAAAATGCGTGTCTAAAAAGCTAATAATCTCATATACATTTCATATTCTGCAAATCTGTTCTCATGAGAACGGCATGTCAAATGTTGGTCTTCATCCTTTCATTCAGTTTTTATTCTCCAATTATGAAAAGGCACTGAGCCATGGCACAAGTTTAATGGGAAAACAGGTTGTTGTTATTTTGAGGCAATGGTTTTAATTTGGTCAGTAAAGATGCAATAATTGCCTGCAGAGTGTAATGGAATTTCCATATATTCATTATACTGACGTAAGAACAGCAAAAACTGTTGGGACAACTTCATAAGGCATTGTGGCTAGAGTTTAAAACCTTTACAAAGTCTCTGAGTTCAAAGAGAAAATACATGCTTTCCGGGTTTACTTCAACTACTGACCGTCATCAGAGTCTTTATGAAAGTCTGCTTTGTACATATAATTTTGAGCAAACACAGACACACAATAAAACTAGCCAGCACATCTTAGGATTCATATTTACACTGATACGTTATGCAGATGCTTTAAAGTATGCTATAAAAAGGATAGAATGAGATGTATACTCAAAATATTTCTAATACATATAAAGTCGAAATTCAGTTGACTACCCATGTGAAAAAGAAGTGTACTTAATCGTATCGAATGTGTACTTTAAATCTCAAAAGTATATTTTCGATTATATAATATTAATTAAATTATTAATTAAAAACAGTTTACTCTCTTTAAATACACTTAATACACTTAAACTATTTATTAACATACTTAAACTATTAATTAAAAAAATATTTTTAAGTGCATTTTAAATCAGTATGTTTTAATAATCTTAAATTATGCTTTAAAAAATACATTCATTATCATATGTTGACTAACTAAAGCACAAGTACTTGATTATAATTATATTTATAATGCAACACATTTTCATTTAATTGCAACAATGTCTGAAAACATTACATTCAGTTTGCACTTATATTCTTACAAGTGCAAACTGAATACAATGAATATAAAAGTACATTTATTATATTTATTATTTCTGGAATATGTACTCATTTTAAAAGTATGCTAATGTGCTATATTTTTTTGCAGGGGACCTTCTACTAGTTCACAGTTATGTATTTCATATTTATAGATAATATAGCCTAGCTTAAATGTAGCTCAAACTACTTTTGTCATTTAGGTTAGCTTTTAGCATTACTAGCTTCTTAATCTAATGGTAGCTTTCGGTTTAGCTTAGCTAATCCTTCTCTAGTGTAGTTAGTAATTTAGTTAACTACACAGAATCGTGCCCAACACAGTACAGGTTTGCAATGTGTGAATGTATCTTAAAGCTGCAGTCCTTAACTTTTTTGTGTTCAAAATTGACAAAATGTATATAATAAGCAAGTACACCATGAATCCATTTTCCAAATCATGTTTTTGGCTTGCCCTGAATCACTACGGTACACCTATAATAAGCGTTTATATTCAGACTACTTAGACTGGTTCGTGTAGGTACCGCTGCGGAGTAGCCCAGAACCTGCGTGATTCGCCATAGACATAAACAGAGAGAAGTAGCTCCGGCTACAATGTTCTTCCGCAAGATGCAAGCAGTTCTGTTTATTAACCGCTAGAGTGCCAAAAGTTACAGACTGCAGCTTTAAATATGCAATATGGGTATTCTGTTCCATTGGAAAAGATTTAAGAATGTGACATTTTCATTTTAAAAAGATAGTGTTATGTAAAAATTTTAACAAAACACAGCAACAGTGAGCATTATTAAAAAGTATATAGATTTAACGGTAAAACACACAAAAGAATGTGAATGCAAACACCTGTAATTATGAGTTCATGCATAATTTCTTTCCTAAATGTCTCAGAAGGCATGTCATAACCATATGACATTCTCAGCTTTAAACATCAACCTGAATGATAGCATTTGGTAGCTATTGCCCTCTTGAGTAGGCTACTGTGTTTTGGTGCCATCAGAGGAACACAAAAGCTCCGACTACATATTTTAATAAGATTTTAATGAGATACACACTTGCAATGCATTGGCCGAGCATTCATGTCTGCATTTGTATTGTATAGGGTATGTTTCTGGCCAAAAAAAAAAAACTTACCAGGGGATGTGGAGTGTCTGACTGTGGGTAAGATGTTACCTCAGAGAGGGTTATTGCCAATAGGAATGTCCAGTTCAGTCAAAATATCACTGTATGTATTCATAGTATGAAATAGTACTTTCGTACTACATTATTATTACTACACAACATTTAAGTTCTCAAGCACCAGTGAACAACAGAATTGCTTATGACACATAATTAGGGGTTTGTAATGTCAGGATATATTGTACAAAACTAAATTTCACATGACAATTTCATTCAGTAAACTATACTTAGCATTATAAAGACAGATGCCTCAGACTAAAACAATTTGCTTTAATTACAATGGAGAAAATAAGACGTACATGCTGGATTGTAAACAAGCGCAGGATTACTCACTTCTGCTTTTGACTGTGCATGACTCTCCTGGCTCTTTGAAAAAGTCTCAACACATGATTCATGAGTTATGTAACATGAAAAATTAAAGGAATAATTGATTCAAAAATATCATCATATGAACTCACCCTCACTTCATTCAAAACCCATTTGACTTTCTTTTAAAAGTTATTTTGCATGTAATTACAAAGAATGGTAAAAGGAGTTTTCATGCCACAGCCATATCACCCTGCAGCCCAAGACTGGTTGCCCACTGAAGCTAAGCAGGGTTGAGCCTGGTCAGTACCTGGATGGGAAACCTCCTGGGAAAACTAGGTTGCTGTTGGAAGAGGTGTTAGTGAGCCCAGCAGGGGGTGCTCACCCTGTGGTCTGTGTGGGTCCTAACGCCCCAGTATAGTGACGGGGACACTATACTGTCAAAAAGCACCGTCTTTCAGATGAGACGTTAAACCGAGGTCCTGACTCTCTGTGGTCATTAAAAATCCCATTGCATTTCTTGTAAAGAGTAGGGACGTCCTGGTCAATTGCCTCCCTGGCCTTTGTCAATCATGACCTCCTAATAATCCCCAACCACTTGATTGGCTCTATGACTCTTTCTCTTCTCCACGCACCTGTGACAGCACCATCTCTCTACTGAACATCATCTTTGCTCGCTTTGAGGCACAAAACAGCATTTTCAACATCTCGCTAAGTCAGGCTGTTGTCCCCACATGCTTCAAAGCTACCACCATCATTCCAGTCCCGAAGAAGTCGTCTCCATCCTGCTTCAAATCACTATATCTGCACTGTTGTTTACTTTACTGGTTTGCACTCTATCTGCCATATGCCTTGTGCTTTATATATATATTTTTACATTTTACCTTATTTGTATATTTGTATAGTTGTATTTTGTATTTAATCTGTATTTATGTTAGCTGTATGCACCCAAGGGTCTGAGAGTAACGCAATTTCAATTCTCTGTGTGTATGTGCTGTACATGTGGAAGAATTGACAATAAAGCAGACTTGAACTTGAACTTGAACTTGAACCTGTAGCTGGTGTGTGGTGAGTGCACTGGCGCCTCTGTCCTGTGGCTGCCGTTGCATCATCCAAGTGGATGCTGCACACTGGTGGTGGTTGAGGAGAGACCCCCCCCCCCCCTCCCACATGATTGTAAAGCGCTTTGGGTGTACAACAATACACAATAAAGCGCTATATAAATGCATCATTCATTCATTCATTCATTCATTCATGTTTCAAATGAGATGCAAAAATAACATTACGTTTATGCATGTAGTGAACGCTTTTATCCAAAGAGACGTACAATTATTAGTCAACTAGATTATTAGATAAACTATATTCTGTATAACTATATGAAAACTATATAAACACTATATAAAAGTTGGTCCATACTACTTGTGTGCTATATTGCAAATTCATTGTAATTGAACGGAAAAAGAGTACATTTGTTCATTATAATAGACATTGTAATTACATGTCTATTACTAATTACAACCAATCTTGTAAACCCATAAAGTGCTAAATTGTAAAAGTGTAAATATTTATAGTAACTATGTCTTCACTAACCAATCTTTGTTTTTTACATTGTATAATTGAAACAGCAGCATGCACATTTATGAAAGCTAGTTAAGTTCAGCTTAAAGGGACAAGTGTGACTTTGGATCTGTGCAGGATGCCTTAAGAAGCCAAGAAAAAGTTTTCATCATCAGCCAAACAAAACTCTCCTCACAGGATTGAAGTAGGAGTGCCCTATGAACATGTGTGATCATCAGGCAGATTTCTGCCTCTTCTGCCTCATTTAAGTTTGAGCATTTCAAAGAGGTTTTAAAAGACCATCAAAGGCCTCATAGATGCAACATACAACACACTCTTTGAACATTCACTATGGTAATAAGGCACACTATTCAGAGGAACTCCCTTAGGGTATGATAATAAAGTTTAACGGGACCTTGGTCGACCACTAGCATTTGTACTTCATGCATATTACAGAGTATTTGGGCATATCTGCCACACTAAGAATGAATGAATTTCATTGTATTTCATAAAATGGATCGTTTTGGTCCTTCATTATGATTGACTGAGCTGCCCTTGTTGTAAAACAACTAAATTTTTGTTAATTAAATCATAATATTTTTGCTCTATGTTTGCATA